CAGACCGACGAAGCCTCTTGGATGAGGGGCGAAACGTTTCTTTTTAAAAAAAAAAACAAAGTCCAGATGACATGATTCAACCTTTTTTGTTGTTTATTGTTGAATTGTGTTTTTTTTTTCATTAATTTTTTTATTATCTCACTTTTAGCATTGTGAGTGTGAAAATTACAACCTGACTAGTCAGGCATAGGAGGATGAGGAGGACCAGGACATGGCGACTAAATCAAAAAGGAGTTGCACTACAAATGCAGCTCTGGAGTAGGGCTGCGCGATATAGACCTTAATGAATATCTCGATATTTTAAGATAAATCGTGATATACGATGTATATCTATATTTTCTTTCCATAAAATAATTTAAAAAATAGATTTCAGAGTCAAAGGTTTATCCCAGTTGTCACACAGGCACATTTATTAACAGCTGTAACTGTACAAAATAAATGTAAGTTTGTTTTTTGGGCAATCTTTACATATACAAGTACAAGTTTCAAGACATTTGATGATGTCCATAGAAAATCAAAGCAAATATGTTCTTGTTTTTAGTATTTCACCCTGTTTTACATCACCCTGATTTATTAATAAATCTGAAGTCTGATTCTAATGAAGTAAATTCATTTAACCATTAATAAACTTTAAGCCCCCAGTGTAGTCCCGCGTACGTCCGTTCATGCATACGTACACGTGTACTGTACGCAGAGGGTTCAGACATGATACTCGAGCATCCACCCTGAGCAGCTGCAGAGCAGCTTCACAGACAAGGGGCGTTTACCTTCGGGGCAAATTGAGGTCACCGATTGGTCATTTGCTGACACGCCTACTGGATTGATTGACAGGTCGGAAAGAAAAAAACTAGCGCTGGCAGCCTCCGCCGCAGCAGTGTTCTGTGTTTATATGTTGTTAATGGTAAATGGACTGCACTTATATAGTGCCTTTCTATCTTATCGAAATACTCAAAGTGCTTTACACTACAATCTGTGTCCTCATGTACCCATTCATACAGCACTCTACTAGATCTCTACAAAGCTAATTGAACAAATCATTTTAAAGAGACTAATCAGAGCTTTTATCACATTCATAAACTGATGGGACACACATCAGAGGCAAAGAGCAGTTCAGTGTCTTGCCCAGGGACACTTCGACATGTGACTGCTGGTGGATTCGAACCCCTAACTCTGGAACAGGGTAAATCTGGACTCATCAGACCACATGACCTCCTTCCATTGCTCCAGAGTCCAATCTTTATGCTCCCTAGCAAATTGAAGCCTTTTTTTCCAGTTAGCTTCACTGATTAGTGGTTTTCTTAAGGCTACACAGCTGTTCAGTCCCAGTCCCTTGAGTTCCTTCACATTGTGTGTGTGGAAATGCTCTTACTTTCACTATTAAACATAGTCCTGAGTGCTACTGTTTTTCTTCAATTTGATTTCACCAAACGTTTAAGTGATCGCCGATCACGATCATTCAGGATTTTTTTCCGGCCACATTTCTTCCTCGAAGACGATGAGTCCCCACTATCCTTCCAGTTTTTAATAATGCGTTTGACAGTTCTTAACCCAATTTTAGTAGTTTCTATAATCTCCTTAGGTGTTTTCTCTGCTTGATGCCAATGATTTGACCCTTCTCAAACAGACTGACTTCTTTTCCACGACCACGTGATGTGTCTTTAAACATGATTGTTTAAGAAATGAGAAGCAACTCGTTGCACCACTTGGGGTTAAATAACTTGTTGCCAGATGAAAGATAATCGCCCATGCAGTAATTATCCAATAGGAGGCTTGTAACTATTTGATTAGTTAAATCCAGGTGGCAACTTTTTTTTTGGCCAGGCAGTGTAGTAAGCCCTTTTATTTAAAATGGGCATGCTTTTTTTTTTTTAAATTACCTCTGTATAGGTGTCAAGCTGCCAGACTACCCGATAGCGCCACAGAAGATCCCTCCCATTCAGGACACCGACCTATTGAACAAAGCTAGTGAGTACTTATGAGGTCGCTTTTCGTGAGTATTCATATCTTTTCCTTGCTCCACTCATCCAGTCCACTTTGGTAATGATTTACACACAGACCCACATGTTTTTATTTCTTTTAGACTTTTCTGGCTTTGTGGAGCGTTCTAATGGTCCTTGAGGAAGTGAACATTTTCCTTCCTCAAGGATTTGTCACAGCTAACGCTCACCTTTTTGTTTCATCTTAATTATTTTGCATCACTGAATAGTCTTTTGTTTTTAGGCCCTCAATATTCAAGCACAGCACCTCAGCACAAGTACCTGTCACCGCCCAGTGAGTGTACATTGTACTCATTACACTTTAAACCATTATTTGTTTATTTTATCAGGTCTTTTGAAATAAAAACTAATTTTATTTCAGAATCCCGACATGCAGTATACAGTTGCGCCAGTGATGAAATTCACGATGGCTATCGCTGCAGGTAAAGAAACGGCAAAAGGCGCCACATCAGTAACAGTTAGCTTCTTCTGGTTGTTTCCCAGTCCTTATTGTTGGCCATCCAGTAATGGTTAACTTGGATTTGTTTTATGACATGGTCTTGTAATATGTCAGTGATAAAATATGGAAGTAATTAAGATAAATTGAAATGGTACTAGGTCAGGCAGTGGATCCAGCATCTGGTCCAGGCGCCGCGATGACTCCTCTAGGTCCAGGTCCAGGCTCCTCGATGACTCGTCCAG